AAAGAGAGATTCACACAAGGGCCCGGTTTCCTGCCCCCGAATCCTCTGCTGCACCTGTTTGTTCCTCCGTCCCTCCCCCAAGTCCAGTGAACTTCCCTGTCGGTGATTATGCTTTTCAGCTCTGGAATTTCCATTTGATTTATCTTATGTAATATCCATGTTTTTAAGATTCTCTATTTCTTGAGTAGTTGTCGTCATATTTTCATTTAATTCTTCGGAGGTACTTACAGTAGCTATTTTGCAGTCTTTGCTAAATTTAACATCTGGCCCCGTGCAGAGTCAGATTCTATCAACTGCTTTTTTCCTAAATATGGATCACACATTCCTGTTTGCTTTTCTCATCATAATTTGCTGAAAACTGGATGTGTCAGATGATATATATCTGGATTATGAGTTGTTTTCCTGAGTTTTATGTTGTTTGTTTTATTTTTTATTTTATTTATTTATTTTCTTTGAGACAGAGTCTCACTCTGCTGCCTGGGCTAGAGTGCCGTGGCGTCAGCCTAGCTCACAGCAACCTCAAACTCCTGGGCTCAGGCGATCCTCCTGCCTCGGCCTCCTGAGTAGCTGGGACTACAGGCGTGCACCACCATACCCGGCTAATTTTTTCTACATATTTTTAGTTGGCCAATTAATTTCTTTCTATTTTTAGTAGAGCGGGGTCTCACTCTTGCTCAGCGGTTTCGAACTCCTGACCTTGAGCAATCCTCCCACCTTGGCCTCCCAGAGTGCTATGTGTTGTTTGTTTTAATTAAGTTTTATGGACTAAACTGCAAAACTTGTCTCCCTCTACATAGTGTGCAGCCTCTGGTATCTCTGCTTAGATTTCTTTTTTTGGTGGTTTTTTTGTTTTTGTTTTGAGACAGTCTTACTTTGTTGCCCAGGCTAGAGTGAGTGCCGTGGTGTCAGCCTAGCTCACAGCAACCTCAGTCTCCTGGGCTCAAGTGATCCTGCTGCATCAGCCTCCCAAGTAGCTGGGACTACAGGCATGCGCCACCATGCTCGGCTAATTTTTTGTGTATATATTTTTTTAGTTGGTCAATTAATTTCTTTCTATTTTTGGTAGAGACGGCGTCTTGCTCAGGCTGGTTTCGAACTCCTGACCTCGAGTGATCTGCCCACCTCAGCCTCCCAGAGTGTTAGGATTACAGGCATGAGCCACCGTGCCCGGCCTCTGCTCAGATTTTTTAATTCATGTTTATCTTTAATCCTGGCTTCCTGGGTATTGCTTCCGTGTCTGTGCATGTCCTGGTCAACCAGTGATTTTGGCGGAGGTTGTGCTCAAACACTTCTAGCCCAAAAGGCGTCCCTGCTCAGCCACTCAAGCTGTGTGGTCAGGGAGCAGAGTACAAGTTCAGCCAGTCCCTGGCTTTCTCTGCTTTCACTTTCCCATGGCCTCTCGTGGAGCCACTGACACATGCAGTAGTTCACTAGCGCTGGGTTCCCCTGCGGCTCTGTCACATTCAGGTCTTCCTGGGCCAGCCCGGTGCTCATCCCGACTGACGTCACAGCCCCAGATGTGATCGGAGTTAGTGCCCCATTGGTTTTTCATCAGGTTAATCACTGAACTTCAAGGCCCAGGTGTCACTGCTGTTCCCCATCCACCCTCTGCTGCTGCTTCTGCAGCCGGCCCCTTACAAGCAACACTCAGGTGTGCTGACCAGGAGCGAGCAACACTCAGGTGTGCTGACCAGGAGTGGGAGCAGGTTGCAGCCCCAGGTGCAGAGGCTGAAGACTTCCCACTGTTCTAAAGCTAAGCAGTTTTTCCAGAATAATCTCTTCTCAGTGCGTTGTCATCTTTGGTCAATTTCCAGAACTCTGAATGGGTGAGTTTTGACAATTTTGTCAAGTTTTACATTGTTTTTCCACAGGAAGGATTCAACAACCTTTCTACTCTGCCATAGCTGAAACTTAGAACCCACTTAAGTTCAAAATGCTGTTTTCGGGTCAAAGCCTTTACTTTCTTTGGAATGTATTTGAGTGAGTGTCGAGAGGTGGGTGATTGAGTTGGGGTCTTCTGTATATGAAATCTAGTTTTTCATTTTTCCTTGTGAAACCGCGTTTTCCCGACTGCATGGTCCCGCCTCCGCCGAGCAAGGTTGCCCTGTGTGTGTGGGTGCCCCTGTTCTCTGTTCCAAAGTCATTTCGTGGCTGTGTCATTAACTGCTCTCCAAGGCTGGAAATGTAGGCGTTTCCAGGTTTTTCATATTTGATTAACATCCTTGTGGCCAAATCTTTGCAAACGTTATTACTTTAAAAAGATCATTTCTTAGAAGCACTTGCTGGGTTAAAGAGGATACCACATTTTAAGGCTTCTGATACTATGGGATATTCCTCCAGAAAGGTTTGATTAACTGATGTGGAGTGTGCGTCCAAGGGGGATGTTTAGTCACCTTCACCTCTGGGTCTGGCCCTCCCCTTTGAGCATGTTCTTTGGCTCCCCAGGGAATGGGCCTTTTCAGCCCGTGTCCACTGCAGTGAGGTTGGGGCACGGCCTGACGCTGCTGGAGCCACTTGGTCCTTGGCACTGCCCCGTGTGGGAAGGAACCATCCGGAATCCTAGGCTGGAGAGGCATCGGGCATCTCCGTCTCCCTGTGGGATACCCAGAACCCTTTCCTGCCGTGTCTCTGGTTTCCACCCACTGGTTTCTACCTGGGAAGACAGCCTGTGTCATGCGGCAAATGCCAGTTTACTGGTTATTCCTGCAGGGTTAGGACAAGTAGAGGGTGGTGAGCTGTTCATGTCTTTATTTGGCAAAGTTCAAGGTGCAAGTCTGTCCCCGCATTTCCTCTTCCTTCTCTCTGTCTTGGTTTTGTTTTTAATTTTATTCGCTCACTGGGTATCTCAGAGTTGAGGCGCCACTCTTGTGACTGGAGGACCAGGCGTGTGAGCACACGCCCACGCACCCAGCGCACCTGCCGCCTGCTGGCTGCTGGGGCCTCGGCAGCCGTCATCGCAGGGCTGCTGCCACCTCGGTCCTCACGCCCAGGACGCTGCTTGGAGTGGCACTCTGTCCTGAGAGAGAAAATGCAAGCATGTTCGTGTGTGTATGTTGTGTGTTGTGTATACAGTTGGCCCTTGGCATCCATGAGTTCCACATTCATGGATTCAACCAACCATGGATCGAAAAATGTTTGGGGAAAAAAGGATGGTTCCTTCTGTACTAAACAACTTTTTCTTGTCGTTATTCTCTAAATACAACATGACCACTGTTTACGTAGCATCTGCTTTGTGTTATCAGTGACCCAGAGATGGTGTCGAGTCCGAGGGAGGATGTTCTCTGCAAGTGCCGCACCATTCACACAAGGGACTCGAGCACCTGTGGGCTCTGATCTCTGAGGGTGGTCCTGGGACCGTCCCCAGGGATACCAAGGGACAGCTGTATATGTATATGCAAGTGTGCAAGAGTATATATGTATATGTGCATATGTGTGTGCATGTGTGTGATAGCATATGTATATGTGTGTATGACAGCATGTGTTTGAGTGTGAACATGTATGCACATATTTATGTGTGTGAGAAAGTATATATGTGTGAGTGAGTGCATGTGTATACCTGTGTGTGAGTGCATGTGTATACATGTGTGAATGAGTGTGTATACGTGTGTATACATCTGAGTGTGTATGTGTGTGAGTGCATGTGTATGCGTGAGTATATATGAGTGTGTGTATACGTGGGTACATGTGTATATGTGAGTGTGAGTGCATGTGTATATTTGTGTGAGTGCATGTGTATACGTGTGTGTGAGTGCATGTGTATACGTGTGTGAGTGCATGTGTATGTGTATGAATGCATGTGTATGTGTGTGAGTGCATGCGTATGTGTGTGAGTGCATGTGTGTACATGTGTGAGCGCATGTGTATATGTGTGTGAGTGTATGTGTATACATGTGTGTGAGTACATGTATATACCTGTGTGGATGCATGTGTATACATGTGTCTGAGCGTATGTGTATATGTGTGAGTGCATGTGTACATGTGTGTGAATGCATGTGTATACATGTGAGTGTGTGTGCGTGCATGTGTATGCCTCAGTGTGTCTGTCTGGCTCCCTGCCTCTCTCTCCCTTCAGGGCAGTGTCCAGGTGGATGAGCTCAGTGCTCCTGGGCTCACCTGCCCTGCTGGGCCATGTCTCAGCCACTGCCGCCTGTGCCCTCTCTGCAGGTTCTCCCACGGGCAGGTGGTCTCTCTGGATGAGCTACGTCCCTTCCAGGACCCGGACCTGAGCTCCCTGCAGGCCGGCTCTGCGTGTCTGGCCAAGCACCAGGACGGCCTCTGGCACTCTGCACGCATCACTGGTGAGGCTGGCGCTGTCTCTGAGCTGCAGGGCTGTATCTAGGGTCCTTCCTGGACTCCTCCCGTGCCTCCCGCGTGTTGTTACCATGTGGCCACTCCCTGCCTCCTTCGGGGTGGGCGTCAGGACTGTGGCTCTGGGCCCCAGATGAGCGTCTTGCTCCTGACTTGCAGCGAGGCTCCCGACCGGGGCTGACCTGCAGCTTGTCTCTGCCCCCAGATGTGGACAGCGGCTACTACACAGTCAAGTTCGACTCGCTGCTGCTGCGGGAGGCTGTGGTGGAGGGGGACAGCATCCTGCCTCCACTGCGCACGGAGGCTGCAGAGTCCTCCGACTCGGACAGCGGCGGCGTGGATGACTCCAGCTATGCCCGAGGTGTGGCAGCAGCTCACGGTGCCGAGGCCAGGAAGGTGGGGGTGGTCACCCCGAGACATTGGGGGGCAGTGACTGGCTGCTGTGAGGCCCACTGTGCTGGGGGAGGCACAGCTGCGGGCCGCTGGGCCCCAGGACACGGGGGAGATAAGAGGCAAAGGGCTTGGAGCAGATCTAGAGGCCTGAGACACAGAGGCCAGTCTTTGTCTTCAAGAAGTCAACAAGTGGTCTCGCTGATGGGAGGCCGTGGCCATGGCAGGGGAGGGGCCACCAATCCTGGAGCCACCAAGGGAGTCTCAGGGACCAGTTGGTGGACATAGAGTGCAGGAAGGACCAGCTCCTCCGGGTAGCTCCCAGACTTAGGGCCTCGTGTCTGGCGGCCTCAGCCAGGGTGAATATTCAGGAGTAGGAACTGGGGGCAGTGTGCAGCCCTCGGAGAGGTCAGTTGGAACCAAGCCTGGGAGGTGCCCCCAAGCGCCTGTGATGGGAGTTGGGGTTGCTGAAGCCCCACGTCCACGTGATCGAGGAGAGGCGTGAGCCATAGAGGTGCGGTTGGCTACTGTCTGTGAGGGCAGGGGAGGGCCTGTGAGGGGCCCCGGTGCAACCAGGTGCCGCCCTGAGGGGTGGGAGCTGCAGCAGCCCACTGTGCATTGTCTCATGCCCACAGCAGGCCTGGGTGACTGTCGGGGAGCCCTAAGTGTGGGGATTAGGGCCCTGCCCAGTGGCTGAGCTCCTGGGCTAACACTGGCCAGAGCCCAGGGCGCTGTACAGACCTCTGACCTGGCCAAGCCGCTGCTCTGTCTCCTGCAGTGGTGGAATCCGGCCCTGCGGACCCCGGGACCTGCAGCTCCGCCTTCGCGGGCTGGGAGGTGCACACGCGAGGCATCGGCTCCAGGCTCCTCGCCAAGATGGGCTACGAGTTTGGCAAGGGTGAGTGTGCGCTGGCCTGGGAGGGGTGCCTCTGCAGCAGCCGTGGTGCCAGCCTATGTCTCCCCCAGGCCTGGGCCGGCACGCGGAGGGCCGAGTGGAGCCCATCCACGCCGTGGTGCTGCCTCGAGGAAAGTCGCTGGACCGGTGCGCAGAGATCCTGCAGAAGCGGACCAAGGGTGGCAAGGCTGGCGCCACCAGGCCCCCCAGGTGCCGGGGGAGGGCTGGTAGGCCTGGAGGCCGCCCGCCACCTCGGAATGTGTTTGACTTCCTGAACGAAAAGCTGCAAGGCCAGGCTTCAGGGGCCCTGGAGGCTGGGGAGGCCACACCAGGGAGCAAGAGCAAGGACATGTATCATGCCAGCAAGAGCGCCAAGCGGGCCCTGAGCTTGCGGCTCTTCCAGACCGAGGAGAAGATCGAGCGGACCCAGCGGGACATCCGGGGCATCCAGGAGGCCCTCGCCCGAAATGCCGGCCGGTACCTGTGGGGCCCCACTCAGGGCAGAGGGTGGGCCCGGTGGCCATGCCCACCAGACGTGTACAGCAGTGGTCACTGGACCCAAGCATCTGGCAGTGGGCACAGCAGCCTGGGGAGTGGGGGCCTGAGGGGGTGGTGCAGGAGCCCCTGCTGACTGGCTGCCCCTCCCTAGGCACAGCGTGGCGGCAGCCCAGCTGGAGGAGAAGCTGGCAGGAGCCCAGCGGCAGCTGGGGCAGCTCCGGGCTCAGGAGGCGGGCCTGCAGCGGGAGCAGAGGAAGGCCGACACCCACAAGAAGATGACTGAGTTCTAGAGACCCACGAGCACCATGGACAGAGCATGGGACCCCAGCGTGGGCTGCCCTCAGGAAGGCCTGCTCTCACCGCAGTACCTCAGACGCCCCTGAAGAGGGGCCAGCCCACTCCCAGGCGAGCCCGCTCAGTTGGCCTTGCTGGCCCAGGACTTGCAGATGCTGCTGAGTGGAGATGGGCCGCAGGGTCACATCTGGACACTTGTCTGCCGAGCCTGTCTGCCAGGGTCTGGGCACCTCCTTGCCCAGGACATTAAAGCGATTTCGCCGCAGTGTCTTTCCGTGGAGACTCGCTGGCCACGGGGTCTCTGGGGAGAGAAGGGGCCGCGCAAGTGGCGACGGCCAGGCTGGGCCGGAAGGGCCTGGGTGAGGCTGCCACCCCATCCAGGGTCGGAGGGCCCAGGAGGGCCAGCACTGTCCCTTTTCTGACCAAGACGGGTCAGAGCTGGGGGTGCCCGCCAGGCTGGCTGACACCCACACACGGGTGGAGCGTGGTGATGCTCTGGTGGGTGAGACGTGGGGACAACTGTGGCCCTCGATGGGCTGCTGAGAGCGCCTAGTGAGGCAGGTGGCCCCGGCTGCCCTCACGGCTCTGGGGACTCCGGCCAGTGCTCAGTGGCCACTGACCGTCCCGTTCCCTGCTCTGCCTTCGTCCCCGTGTGTGAGGGGACCTATCGGGGCTCTCAGAACAGCGAGGGCTAGAAGCGCACACTCATGGACTCCGTCTAGTCTAGACCCAGGAGAGCGGCCGAGGCAGGTGGGTGGGAGGCAGCGGGGGAGGTGCTCAGAGCCGCAGGGGCAGGAAGTGAGGTGGGAGCTCAGTGCACAAAGGCCTTCCTGGCCTGTCCCAGACAGAGCTGAGGAGCAGCCTGGCCCACGGCCTTGGTAAGTGCCTGCTCCAGCCTCCAGCCCAGGCAGGTCCTAAGCTCTTGGTGCCCACCGAGGTTGAGGCATTAGAGGACTAGGGTCTGAGAGGACCAGGCCCTGCCGGGTCGGGTTAGGCAGCTGGGCCTTTTGGGAGAGGATTCCACTCCCCGTGTCTGGGCAGACTGGCATCGACCTCCAGAGACCACCCCTCTTACCTCCCAATTCCTGCCTCCCTGCTGCCAGACGGTGCCAGTTGTGGGTGTCCCTCACTCCCCAAAGCTCTGCCAAGCCCCCAGGAAGGGGACAGATCCTGTGGCAGGGTAGGAGAGCCGGGGACAAGTGGGATGGGGGCACTTGGTGCCCACAGCAGCCCCTTCCTGCCTCCCAGCTTCTTGGGGTGCTGGGCTCTGTAGTGAGTGGCTTGGGGGCACCACCTGAGATAAGGGGGGGCACCCCTGGGCATGGGTGACCACCGAGGGGCCCTGGGGCTTCCCCAGATCTTGGGTTTGGTGACCACAGCTGGCCTTAGCACCCAGCTGCCCTGCCCCTCCTCACTGGCCATGCTCCGTTGCTGTGGTCACCCTCCCCGGCTCCCATGGGGCCAGGCAGAGCACCCTCCACTCACCTCCCCAGGAGCCCCAGCCAGAGGCGGTAAGGTGGGTGCCTCTGGGAGGGAGGGGCTGTGAGTGTGGGGTTTCCTGTGCTGAGTCAGAGCCCAGGGGGAGGGGCCAGGCTGGTGCCCTCAGCCTGCCCACAGTGCCCCTCTCTCTTCTGCCCCCAGGCCCCTGGCTTCACAGGATGGGGCTGCAGGTGCCCTCAGCCCCTCCTGCACTCTGGGTCCTAGGGTGCTGCGCCCTGCTCCTCTGGCTGTGGGCGCTGTGCACAGCCTGTGGCAGGTACGTCCATCTGTTGCGGGTTTACTCCAGGGCCACTTGTGGCCCCCTCCGCTGCCCAACCCTCGAGGGGTTAGAGGCAAGTCCCTGCGCCCATCTCTGTGCGTGCCTCCCGAGGCCAACCACCCCTGCCCTCACCTGCCTCCCTGGCCTGACAACGCTCTTGCCCCCAGGAAGCGGGCGCGGAGGCCCTGGGCTGGGCTGCAGGGCAGCATGTTGCCTGCGGAAGCGGTGAGTGCCTGCCTGCCCCGGGGCCAGGGCGGGGCCGGCTGGGAACCGACCTGCCTGCTTTGCCCCCAGGCACTGCTGAGACCAACGCAGCTTGGCTCCCTCAGCAAGTCGGACACCAGGCTGCACGAGCTGCACTCGGGGCCGCAGGGTGGTAGAGGTGAGCAGAGCTGCTCTGAGTCTCCGAGGGTGGGGTGTGGGTGGCTGGGCAGGGCTTGCTGCACAGCTCCCCTGCCCTGGGCCAGGCTAGCTCCTTGCTCCCAAGTGACCTCTGCCCTGACCCCACCCCCAGCCCAGCGGCCTGTCAGCATGGATCTCCTTCGCCCGCACTGGCCAGAGATGTCCAGGGCCCTCCCCAGGCTGCAGGCAGCCACCTCTGCCTTCCCACACCGAGAGCTGCCCCAGGGCCCACCTGCTGCCTCACCCGCCATGGGCCCCATGGCCACCTATTCCAACGTGGGGCTGGCCGCCTTCCCCAGGGTTGGCCTGGCAGCCAGTCCTGTGGTCGCTGAGTACGCCTGTGTCCAGAAGCTCAAGGGGACAGAGCAGGGCTCCCGAAAACAGCAGGGGAGGGCCAAGGAGTCTCCAGCTGCTCAGGTAAAGGGGGCTAGGGTGGGCATGATGGGTGGGGCTGGGCAGAGTGGATGGCACTGATACCTCCTGTCCACTTCCTTGCTCCAGGTGGACATCCTGTACTCCAGGGTGTGCAAGCCTAAAAGGAGGGACCCAGGACCCACTACAGCCCCGCTGGACCTCGAGGGCAGGGGAGCAATTCCAGCCCTGGGGGGTGACTCGGCCTATGAGGCCCTCCCACTCAGGGGCCTGGGTGTGGACAGCGGACCCCTGGAAAACGTGTACGAGAGCATCCAGGAGATGGGGGCCCACGCGTGCCCAGAGCCCCCAGCTCTAGCTGTCAGCATTAGCGGACATAAGCTGGACACCTGGGCACCCTGTGTCCACCTGCCTCAGCCCAGGGAGAGGCTGGAAACCCCTCCCTGCCCAGAACACTCCAGCGCCCACGTTCTGTCCTCCACAGTGAGGCCCACTCCGCCTCCCCAGCGGACAGCACCAACCCCAGACCTCAGGGCTGCCGGGCTGTGCCGCCCTGGACGAGCGAGCTGCTCTGATGGCGGGGGCCTCCCGGCCCCGGAGGAGGCCCGCGTCTAAATAAATCGCATCGCAGGGGGTAACACGGCCTTGCCTCACAGCCTGCCCTTCTTGAAAGCTGGAGGGGCCGGGGGCCGTGGTTCTCTGGAAGGATTACAGATGTCCCTTCTGGCTAGCAGTGCTCCCGCTGGTCCGGCTCCGGAGCCGGGCGGGAGAGGAAGGCGGAGTTCGCGCTGGCGTTTCCAGGCCGAGTCAGTACGAGGGGGCGGTGCAGCGGCCGGACGAGTGGCCGCCCGGGGTGGGACTTGGGCCCTGAACTGCCCCGGAGGGCTCCACCACCCAGCCCCGGTGTTACATAAGGGGTGGGCAGCCGTGAGTTAAAAAGTAACCTGCTCCCGGGAAGCCCGCCCAGGGAGCACGGCACCCTCCCCGGCTCGGGCAGTAGCCTGAGCGCGCCCGTGGGAAGCCGGCTCGCTGGCCCGGCCCCCTCCCCGGCTGGCGCGGGAGCTGCTCGGCGGGGGCGGGGCCCCGGGCCGCGGTCCACCGCGGAATGTTGATACCGGGCGCGGGCCAATGGGGCGCGCGCCGGGCGGGGCGGCCGGGGGAGGGCGGCCACGGGCAGCCTCCGGCGGCGCGGCGCGGGCGGCGGCCGGATCCAGGGCGGGGTGGCGGCCCGGCCAGCCCGGCCCGGCCCGGGGCTGCGTCCTGAGAGTGCGCCCTCGCCGCTGCAGCCTCGGCGCCCGGCCCGCCGCCCGGCCATGGAGGCCGAGCGCCCCCCGCCTCGCGTCGTCGGCCGGGACCCCAGCGTGCCGCTGGCCGAGGCGCCCTGGCTGCGCGCGGAGAGCCCAGGCCCGCGCGCTGCGCCCGTGACGGTGCCCACGCCGCCGCAGGTACCGGGCGCCCGGGGCGGGCGCCGACCAAGTTCCCGGGGCCGCAAAGATGGCGTCGGGGCCGCGCAAACTGTGGGCCCCCGCGGAGACGGCGGGGGCGCGGCCGCGTGGGCCCGAGCGTGTCTGTGGAGCCGGCGGGGCAGCGCGGGCCGGCGGGGCGACGCTTCCCGCCGCGCCGGGCCAGGGGCGGGGCCGGGGGCGGGGCCGTGCTGTCCACACCGGCCGCAGCCGGTTTGAGGGGCGGGCGCCGAGCTGGTCCGGGTGGGAGGCTGGGGGACCCCAAGCTGCCGCCGCCTCTGAGCCTGCCCCATCCGCAGGGCCCTGCCGCGAGCGGCGGCTGTGCGGGCTTGGAGCTCGCGCTGCCACAGGAGCCGGAGCCGCGGGCCGCGGACCTCGGGGCCCCGGGGACGTGGGCGGGGGCGGCGGCGGGGCTCCCGACTCCGTCCGCGCACATCCCGGTGCCAGCGCAGAGGTGAGCCGCGAGGCTAGCGCCCCGGGACTGGGTGGGCGTGTGCGCGCGGGTGTCGGTGGGTGGGGTGCGGATACGTGCCTTCCCGCCTTCGCCTCGGCAGACCTGGGTGGAGGCCAGGTCAGGACCCAGGGTTTCTAATCGCCCCTCCAAGATCTCCAGCCGCGGAGGAGTTGAGCAGAAATGATCAATACATTAGGGTTCCTTGTCCCCCCTCCCCCAGCTCGTGGTGGCCAGAGCACAGAACTGGGCGGGGTGGATGTCAGTGTCTGTGCAGAACGGGCTGTGCAGTCCGTCGGCCTGGGGTCGACTGTCCAGGAATCCCTGGGGCTCCCCACTCCAGCGTGCCCCACACCTTGGGCTGGCTGCAGGGGGAAGGGGTGCGCTCTGGCCTGCCTCACTGGGGCCTCGTACCGCTTGGAGCCCAGGCTCCTCCTGGCTCCTGCCGCCCGGCGCTGCTCCCACCCTCCCAGGCCTGGCCCTCGGCCCACAGCTGCTGTTGCACAACCCTGGTTAATGTGTGATGGGGGGAGGGCTGGGCTGGGCCTGGCCTGGCCCCCAACTCCAGTGGGCTTCAGACCCCTGCCCAGCACCAAGGCCTGAAGGAGCCATGGTGGAACAAAGCCCAGGGTGTAGAGAACTCAGGCTTCAGTGGGACCCCAGCCCTGTTCCTGGTAGTTCCTGGCGATTTTCAACTGTGCAACCCGAGCTGGGGGAGGAGCCAGGCCTCCTGTCCTGGGCCAAGAGACAGGCAGCCTGGTGTGCGCACACGTGCCTAGGCCTGCACGTGTACCTAGGCCAGGGGAGGGGCCTGGAGCACTTGCTGGCCCCACCTGCACCTGCCCCCATCTCCTCCAGAGCCTCCCCAGCAGCAGCCCGGCTAGAGGAGGTTATGGCTGCCGCAGCCCTTACCAGCTTGTCCACCAGCCCCCTCCTCCTGGGGGCCCCGGCTGCAGCCTTCAGCCCAGGTGAGACTCAGAGGTCTGTGCTCAGGGATGTGGGTGGGGACAGGGCCCAAGACCGCTGTCCCTTGAGGACCCTACAGCCACCCAGCCTCTTGGGCAAGTATATCCCCCAAAGGAAGGGATACCCACTTCCAAACATACCTTTTGAGGCTGCTTTCTGAAATGGACATCTGGACCCTCGTACCCCCCACTGAGGCCAAAGCTGCAGCATCCCATCTTCTGTGAACTGTCCACCCCCTGCACAGGACGTCTTCCTGTGCTAGGAAAGGTTCTCCCCAAGCCCCCGTGGCCAGCTCTTCCCTGCCAATGCCTCCCCCAAGAGGCTCTGCCCACCACACTTGCCTGGGGATAGGTGTACAGGTGGCAGCTCAGAGTTAGGGACTTGCTGCGGCCGGCAGGTGGCCAGCAGGCAGCAGTCTCTGCAGAGCAGCTTGAGCCCCCCCAGCCCTGCGGGTGGTCTGTCCCCACAGAGCCTGGCTTGGAGCCCTGGAAGGAGGCCCTGGCGCGGCCCCCAGGCAGCTACAGCAGCAGCAGCGCCAGCGGAGAGTGGGGCTGGGACCTGGCCAGTGACCAGTCCTCCCCGTCCACCCCATCACCCCCGCTGCCCCTCGAGGCAGCTCACTTTCTGTTCGGGGAACCCACCCTGAGGAAGAGGAAGGTGAGCTTCGGGGCGGCCCCTGTGGTGGGGTGGTGCGCAATGGCTGAGCCTGACTCCAGCCCCCGTCTGCAGAGCTCGGCCCAGGCCATGTTCCAGTGTCTGTGGAAGAGCTGCGGGAAGGTGCTGAGCTCCGCGTCCGGGATGCAGAGACACATCCGCCTGGTGCACCTGGGGTGAGGTGGGGCCCAGGCGGGGCTGGGCCAGGGTGGGGTAGGGTCCAGCCAGGCCACCCCTTCAGTCCCGAGCTGTGTCCCCGCAGGAGGCAGGCGGAGCCAGAGCAGAGTGACGGCGAGGAGGACTTCTACTACACCGAGCTGGATGCTGGTGTGGACACGCTGACCGACGGGCTGTCCAGCCTGACCCCGGCGTCCCCCACGGCCTCCTTGCCGCCCACCTTCTCCCGCCTGGAGCTGCCGGAGTCCCCTGTCCTGACCTCTATGGGCGCCCCCCAGGCGTGCCACAGCGACCACGCCTACCCCGTGGGCGAGGCCACAGGTGGCAGCTGGGGGCAGCTCTCAGGGCATTCTGGAGGCCTGGAGCCGCAGCCCACCGAGGTCAGGGCCTGTGTGCCGGCCCTTCCTGCCAGGATGGGCGTCAGCCTGAGGTGTGTGTGGGCCGAGGGCAGGGCGGGTGCCAGGCAGGAACACCCCCACGTCCCTGCCCCGCAGTGCCCATGGCCCCCTGTGTCCCCCCAGGAAGCCCCGTGGTGATGCTAAGAAGTGCCGGAAGGTGTATGGCATGGACCACCGGGACCTGTGGTGCACAGCCTGCCGCTGGAAGAAGGCCTGCCAGCGGTTTCTGGACTGAGCCCGCCCACGGTGCTGAGGCAGCCGCCAGGACTGCTAAAAGGAGAGAATAAGCTGCCACCTTCTCCCTACCCCCACCCTGGGGTGACACTGACCTGGGAGAGCCCGGCCTCCCCCAGCTGCAGGGTCTACTTTTTAAGGGGGGAAGGAGGAGTCGGTGACCCTGGACCCCCGGAGTGGGGGAGAGGTCCCAGCATTCAAAGTGCCTCTGAAGAAACCAGCGTTTTGCACTAAAGCCAAACCACGCCGCCGTCCCCTTGGCCACCGGGGCCCTGGGGCCGGCCGTCCTCCCTGCCTGTCGGTCCACAGACTTGTCACAGGCCCGGCGTCGGGGCCAGTCTGCAATGCACTTTGAGGGGTGTCGGGAAGAGGACCCCCCCTGCTCGCACTTAACTCGGTGGTTCGAGGGCCCTGGGGCTGACCTTTTACCATGTTTCGAAGCTCAGGTGTCTCGAGTCTGGGCCGCGCCAGGCGAAGAGAAAAAAATTAAAGATTTGAGATTTTTCCAGAAGTCAAGTCTGTCTCGTGGGAGGAAGGACGTGGGACTGGGAGGCTACGGTGAGCAGAGGGGTGGGAGGCCCGGAACCAGCGGCAGAGGGCTGGGGGCCGCCCTCTGGCCGCCCCCACCCGGCGAGGCTGGGGGAGGGGACCCTGTCCGAAACACACAGGAGGCGTCTGCTTGGAGCAGCAATTTCCCGATTTATTGAAAGTGATCGCTTTGCAAGAATGTCTAAGCTAATCCCGTCACAGAAAGGAAACCCACAGGCAGGCTGGGAGCGCGCCTCGGCACACGAGAAACCTGGAGAGCCACGTGGAGAAGGTAAAGTTACCTGTCCTGCAGCCACGGAGAAGCAGGACAACAGAGCCGCGATTGCCCGCCAACTGAGTACGAAATCTCCTCCCCTAAATATTAAACACATCTTCGATACAAACACAGGTTTATAATAATTAATATAAAGTCAATATAATATAGATTATCCCCAGAAAAAAATCAACAGTCTTCAAACACTGCCCTTTTTGTTTTTTGTCTGTTTTGTTTTTGTTGACAGGTTGAAAGCATGTTGAAAAAATAAATATTTAAGAAAAGCACACACAGCACCCTCACTACAAGTAGTTCTAAAAGGGCCGCATACAAAAACACAGTATAGGATCTAAAAAATAAAAAACAACCACCATTAAGTATGGCTTTCTTAAGAGTTGCACATGTCACAGAATGAGCTAAAATAAGCTTATCTTTCATAATATTGCAAAAAGTTCCAGTTTTTGTATTTTCTCAATTTTCTTTTTTAAAAAGGAAGATGTGCAAAGTTGGAAGCAGTAAGCTGTGTCTTTTGAGTCAGGTCCCTATTCAGTCCTGGCAGTGTCCTGTTTCCCAAAACCCGGAGAGTTCCAACACACAAGCTTGTCAGGATCCAGAGCTTGGTACAAAAGTCATGTGTTTCCCCGTCCCTCCCCCACAACACCACCCCCGATGGACTGCATTTTCCACTTTGGTGTTGCAAACACCAAAATATAAACAGACACGAACAAAAAAATACAAAATGTGAAATGTAATCTACATATTTTTTCCTCTTTATAAAAAAATATTTATTAGTTTGAACATCGATTAAAAAAAAAAATCAGTCACGTAAAAAAAACCTTCATTACATACGTCTTTTCCCTCCACGCCTCCTGAGAGACGGGCACGTTCACGGGGTCTCTCGGATTCCACGCTCTCCCATCTGCAAACCGCGGGCAAGCGCGAGGAGCCGCTGCGCGGCAGACGCGGGAAGGTTGGGCTGGGAGCGCCCCTGGTCTCGTGGTACAGTGTCGGTTTCAAGGAAGAAAACGGCCCCGTGGCACCGGCAGGGAAGCCCCGAAAAGGTCAGCGAAGGCGGCCCGGGTGGGGCGTGTGCCGGCCGGAGAGGGCAGGACACCCTGAGTGTGGCCGCAGAGGCGCCTTCGTGGGGCGCCAGGGTCCTGGGCGGACGGCCTGAGAGGTGGGAACTGGTACAAAACCCAGGGACACTTACTTGGTAGCAAAGGTCTGGTTTCCAGGTGCATTTTATAAGAAAGTGAGTTTGCTTAGAAAAGGAGTTCAACAAGTGCGGGAGAGGCCTGGCCAGGCTGGCCCGGGGGAGGAGGGAGGGCTCAGGCTGCAGCTTCCCTGGGGGCCGGGGGCTTGGCTGTGCTGTCCCACTGGGGGGCACGCGGCCGAGCCCCCCACCGCAGGGAGAAGCCTGAGCCCTCCCTCCCAGCCCTCACTCTGAGCACCCTGCGTCCCCTCTGAGGGATGTGTCTGCGGGCACAGCACCCTCTTGTGAGCAGGAGAAACAGTGGCTGATTTAAAAAAAACAAAGGCTGACTTCTCCCATGGCCCAGGACCCCGTGGCCCAGCGCCGCCCCCCGTGTGCCCGCCCCGAGCAGCAGCAGCAGGAGAGAGGCGGGCGCTCGGGCCTGGCTCCGCAAACAGTTGGTAAAAGCCACTTTGGCCTACAGTCTGGAGAGAGGGAAGTAAGAGCCGTCTCTCTGGTTGGCGCTGACACTCAGCACCCCAAGGAGTCCCCGCACACGTGGGTCTGGGGACAGGGGTGGTGAGCTGCCCCCCCTTGTCCATCTGAAAGCACCACACCCGGCGAGCTCCGCGAGCTCCGGAGGGAGGCAGGGAGGCGGCAGGGATGGAATGTCTTAGCAGGGCCGTGCTGCAGGGCACCGGCGGGACCTTTGCTTTTCGCTCAGAAAAAGAGAGCGTGTGCGGCGGGCTCCTTGGAAATACAGCAAGAGGACTTGACCACAAGTTAAAGGAAAACCAACCCCATATAGTTTTGTGGAGTGAGAAAAATAATGCCAAACAAAATAACTTTATGTGACTACCTCAATATGTCTCTGACTACTTAGAAATTTGGTTACCCACGCGGGGGGGTGTGAGCAGCACGCTGCAGTTGGGGACACCCCCCTCCAGCGTTAGCAGCAACAAAGGCAGGAGCCAGCGCCAGCCTGTCCCAGCAGGACAGCCGGAGCGGCCAGGCTGGGCACAGCAGACGGCAGGCCCGGGGTGGACAGGGCGCCCGAGGTCCTCCTGGCACGCAGGGCCGCGGGTGCAGAGAGAACCCGGCGTGGCCTGGAGAGGCTGCAGGGGCCGGGCCAGACCCCACCAAGGCCAGCCCCCCCCAAGATAGCACCTGGCGCCCCTGGCCCCCAGCGGGTCCTGCAGCGTGTTGTGTGTAAGCACCAAAGCCCAGAGGTAAGAGGGTCACAGGGCCTCTGTGCACCGGACCTGGATTCTACAGGCTGCCACGGGGCCCCTGGTGCCAACGAGGGAACGGGCCACGGCTGCAGCCACGGGCAGTGACGTGGTGCTGAGGGGAGGGGTCGGGTGGGCAGAGGGGAGGGCGAGGGTGGGCCTGAGCGGGGGGCCAGGCGTATGCAAAGCTCTCAGCACCTACGCAGACATGTGGCCCCTGGGCGGCACTCGCCACCTGGCCGTGGGCCATCGTGCCTCCAAGCCAGGCCGGCCACAGGGGCTCCTTGGAGGCCACGGAGGAGGCGTCCACACTGGCTGGGCACCCACAGGCTCTCACCACCTGCTGGGGCCTCAGCCCGCACCGCCCGTGCTCAAACCCAGCCCGTGCCCCTGACTGGCTTCGCCGTGTCCCCCCAGGCTCCCCACGCGACGGGTCCAACCTGCGTCCTACCACGGGGCTGGCTTCCGTCCGGGGCCACGGGAGGGGTCGGCGCAGACCCCCGCAGTGGAGGCCCGTGGAGACGCACGCGCAGGCGGACAGAGTGATGCGGCCACCGCCCCGCCCGCGGGGCGGGTCTAGGAGAGCCAGGTGAAGTCCTTGTCGCCACCCGCGGGGCTGCGGGGCTGCGGGGAGTCGTCCTCGTCCTTGTCCCCCAGCAGCGCGTCCTCGGGGGCCAGGCCCTCGCCGTCCTCACCGAGCTCCTCCGCGTCGCCGCGCGGGTCCTCGGGGTCCTCCAGGTAGGGCCCGTCGCCCGGGAACAGCGCCTCCGGGGAGCCGTCGCCGCCCCCGCCGCCGTGGTCCTGGGGCCCGGCCATGCCGCGGCCGGCGCAGTCAGCGCACACGCCGTGGCGCCGGGAGCCGTGCCGGATGCCCACGCTGGCGGCGGACATGAACACGCGGCTGCACACCTTGCACACGTACTTCTTGTCCTTGCTGTGCACCTGCGAGGACATGACCGTCAGCGAGGGAGGGGGGCCGGCGGGAGGTGCAGCCTCCACCAGCCCGAGGCCGCCTGCACAGGGAGACCCTCCCAGGGCTCGGACCCAGAGCCGCAGGGCAAGTTGCAGGTGGCCTCCCACGCCGAGCCGCCCATGGGGGCGTCCCCGGCCCAGCCCACCGCTGTGTCCCCGCCCACACCGAGCCGCCCAGGGGGCGTGGGCAGCAACGTCCGGCCCGGCCCAGCCCATCAAGATGTCCCCACCCACACCGTGCGTCCAAGCACCCAAGTCCACACGTCCCCGCCTTCGGTCACACCGCTCCCTCCGACCCCGCCCGCCCCGCCCCCCGCAGGACAGGCTGAAGGACCCTCCCATTGGACAGGAGCTCGCAGACCCCGCCCATGCCCGGCCGGCCCGGTGCCCTGCACGGAGGCTGCCCGGCAGGGCTGAGCGGTGAGTGGGGAGACAGACCTAGCTCAGGCCGGGCTCTCGGGGGCGGGGTGAGGGCCACACGACAGCAGGCCAGGGCGCTGGTGCCCTGCAGGTGTCTCCACGCTCAGGTGGACCCTGGCCCTGCCCCCAGGGGCGGAGACCGCACGGCCCCCAGGGTCTCCCAGCCCCCTGGCCAGACAGCCCCAGGCCAGGCAGGGCTTCCCAGAAACAGGGGGGCCTCAGGCCTCGGCCCCCCAACCCCCAGGCCCCTGTGCTCCTCCCTCGGAAGGGCCGTCTCCCCCCAGCTTTGGTACCCACGGAGGTATGGGAGTGACGGTGAGCTTAGTTCTTCCTTCCACCGTCCCAAACTCCCCGGTTTCCTCAGTAGGCAAGTGAACACATCACCATAGTAACAGCCTAACCAGCCTGTGCTGACGTCCTCACGCCTCTGCCGGGCAGTCACTGCAGTGGCCGGTGCCTCTCCTGGGGCCCCGCAAGCTGCCCTCCCCACCCCTCCTCCTCGTCCCCGTCCCTGGGCCACAGGCCACCTGGAACTGCCAGTGCCCCCCTTTTGTTTTTTGTTTTTTGTTGTTTTAGAGCCAGGCTTCCCTTGGTCGCCCGGGGAGCACAGTGGCCCAGGGAGCACAGTGGCCCGGGCACAGCTCATCCGGCCTCGGCCGAGCAGCTGGGAACCGGGTGCCGCCCGGCGCCCGGCCGTCCTCCCCTCTTAAGCCCACCAAGGGTTGCCACAGACTAGCACAGAACCCGGAGCCACGGCGACCCGGCCACTCAAACAGCTGCTGCGGGAGCAACTTGGGGCAGCCTGGGAGGTCCCGCGTGTGACCAGGGACGGGGTCGTCACGTGGGGACATGGCCTGGAGTCGGGGTGCACCGCAGCCTCTGTGGCCGCTCAGTACCCAGGACCCCTCCTCGAGATTTTTGTCGGCTTTGCTATATTTTAACCCCAGGATTTTCCCCTCCACAGCCCCCACACCAAAGCACAGACATTCAAGACCAAGTCACGGTAGAAACTGCTCCCCCAGCGATGGGTGTGGCCTGGGCGGGCCCAGGGGGGTCCCAGTGCAGCCCGGGTGCCCTGCGCCCACAAGACCACGCAAGGCCCAGGGCGAGCCTGGAGCCGTGCCGGGAGCCCTGGAGAGGCTGGGGGGGGGGTCCCAGTGCAGCCCGGGTGCCCTGCGCCCACAGAGACCACGCAAGGCCGAGGGCCCCGGGTGAGCCTGGAGCTGTGCAGGGAGCCCTGGAGAGGCTGGGGGGGGGTCCCAGTACAGCCCGGGTGCCCTGCGCCCACAGAGACCACGCAAGGCCGAGGGCCCCAGGTGAGCCTGGAGCCGTGCCGGGAGCCATGCTGGGAGCCCTGGGGAGGACAGGGGGGGCAGCTGAGGGAGGCACGTGAGCCACCCCCCCTCCCGCCAGGGCCATGGCTGGGCCTCGTCCACTCGGACAACGGCTCTGGAAGGAAGCGGGCAGGAAGGGTGAGGCCCCCTGGGAACCCACCTCGGAGCCCCTCGGAGGGGCTGCAGGAGCTCCGCCGGCCCGTGCCCTCGGGACCCTGGCTTGAGTGCAGCGGGGCCCAGTGCCAGGTCTGGGGCAGCCTCGGGCCAGGGCGGAGGTGAGTCAGCGAGCTTCGCAGAGCTGCCTCTAGCAGCCCGGCCCTTCTCGGGGCAGGGACCCGGAGAAACCCAAGGGAAGACCACACACTGACTCCTCAGAAAGAGCCCAGCCCCCCGATGTTTGAGCTGCACTGTCTGGGAATTCTGACGCCCGAAGCCCAAGCAAGGAGCGCAGGGCGAGGGCCGGGCCCTGCCCACCAGGCAGCCGCACGGAACCTTCCGGCACCTTTCCCACAAAGCTAGACCTTTCCCGCACCACCAACGTGGCTTCGCTGAAGAAAGACGCAGCAACCCAGATCACTGCAACCTTTTAGGGCCTAACCGCGTCGAAAACAAGATACGATTCTCTCTGAACAGGAAACACGCAGGCCTACATCCTCCCAAGCCGTCCTCCACAGCAGGGGGGAAACCGAGCTCCAGCCCAGCCCCGCGGCTCCGGCTCCGAGTGGACGGGGCCTGCCCAGCCAGCCCCCACGTCTGCGCCAGGACACGGCCCAGGCTGGGGGCCGAGGGGCACAGTGTGGCCTTCCACCCACGGCCAGCAGGGCGCACGGGCCACGCCCCAGGCTCACCGCCCTCCAGCTCCAGGGTGGACCTCAAGGAGGCCCCAGGTGCCCCCACCCAAATGAGCAGTCACCACGGAGCCAGAAAGGCAGAAACAGAACCCTCTAGCACTGTCGGCTCGACCCAGAGGGCGAGCTGGAGGGCCCGGCAGAGTCACATGAGACGGGAACCGGAGATGAGCACGGAGCCCCGCAAGTGGTGGGCGGGCAGGTGGGGGGGCAGAGGTGGGGGGCGGAGGGGCTCTGCTCGCCCCACGGACCAACACGGCCTTAGAGTCCCGCTGACACACTGGGCTTGCCCCTCGCCCCTCAGCTGCAGGTGGGTCTGCCAGGAAGGGGGGCAGCCCCCCAGGAAAGCCTGCGCACCCCAGCTCCCACCCCATGGCGGAGCAGTGACACTCCTGAGGTCCCCAGACACAGCACCCTCCGCCTCCCTCACCTGCAGCTCACGCCCGCCTCCCCCAAACAGCTGCAAGCCCGAGTCCACCCACAGCCCTGCACCCTGCCCTGGGGCAGGGAGAACTCAGACGTCTGGGCTGTCGGGAGGCCCTGGTAGCCCAGCCTCCCACCATGGCCTCTCCCTGCTGCTCTGGGCAAATCTGCATCCTTGTCTCAGGCTGCTTTTTCTCTCTGTCTTTTCCTTGCCAAGCAGATTCATTTATTCAACGCCTGTGACCTGCAACTACCTGTTGGGTGCCGAGCTCGGGCTGGTCGTGGTGGGCACAGACAGATCAGCAGACTCGAGAAGCAGGGTCCCCGCCCTGACCTGGCGTGGCCAAGAGTGTGGGGGGTGGTCCAAGCAGAGGAAGACACGTTTGCCGAGGAGGCCGGCAGGTGGGCAGGGCGGAGGGCGGGGCGACGTGGGGCCTGCTCTGCACCCAGGCCCGGCAGGAGCAGGGTGGGGCCACGCTGACCGGGGGCGGCTCTCCCTGCTCCACTGCCTCCCCCCACAGGGCAGACCCCAGGTCCAGAGTGACGAGTGTTCTGCGCCCCCCACCAGCGACCCGCCTGCCCAGACGCCCTGGCCAAACTCCAACCGTGCCCCGGGCCTGCCTGCCCCACCCCACTCACCAGCGTGTGACGCTTCATGTGCTCCCGCCGCGTGAACTTCTTCCCGCAGATCTCGCAGGGGTAGGGCCGCTCTCCCGTGTGCGAGCGCATGTGCCGCTTCAGGATGCACTGGTGCATGGCGGAGAAGCTGCAGTACGGGCACTTGAACTTCTTCCTGATCACCGTGAACTCGTTCACTGCAAGACAGGGGCCCGCGGGCGTCAGCGTGGCCCGGGACACGCCCACACTGGCTCACTGCACACGGACCTCGGGATGACCGCGGAGTCATCCCAGCCCCCCCCCACCCCCGCAGGGACTGTCGGCCCTGGAGCTTGATGGAGCAAGGCCGGGGGCTCCATGCCCGGCTCTCGGAGGCCCCCCGACAAAGGCCGGGGCCGGGCCCGACGGAGGAGCAGCAAGAGGCGCACGCCCATCCGGCCTGTGGTCCCGGCCCCCTCGGGCCCGCGGACCCCACCGCACGTCCACGCGCCGCCGGCCCCAGGCGCGGAGCCGGATCTCAGTTCGAGGAGCTGGGGGAGGCAGATAAGGAACCAGACACCACCGAGGGACGCGGCCCCTAACACGCAGGGACCGCACACACGCAGGGACCCCGCGCCACCCAGCGGCGTGAAGCGCGCGCTCCAGCGGCCTCGCAGACCCAGGCCCCGTCACCCCGGTGCTGCTCTCCTGCTCGGGCCAGACACGCGATTCACCTGCCTCCGCAGAGCCCAGCGTGGCGGCGCCTGGGGGACCCCGAGAAACCCGCCGCGAGCCCGTCCACACTCACGAGCCGAGAGCGCCTCACTCTGGAATCAGGAGGCGCACGCCGCCGCGCAGAACGACTTCCACTGAACGTACTGTGGCCACCTTTTATGCCACGATTTCCAACTGCACAGCTTTTTTTTTTTTTTTTGAGACAATCTCACTCAGTTGCCTGGGCTAGAGTGCCCTGGCGTCAGCCTACCTCACAGCAACCTCAAACTCCCGGGCTCAAGGGATCCTCCTGCTTCAGCCTCCGGAGTAGCTGGGACTACAGGCATGCGCCACCATGCCAGGCTAATTTTTTCTATACATTTTTAGTTGGCCAATTAATTTATTTCTATTTTAAGTAGAGACGGGGTCTCGGTCTTGCTCAGGCTGGTTTCGAACTCCTGACCTTGAGCAATCCGCCCGCCTCGGCCTCTCAAAGTGCTAGGATCACAGGCGTGAGCCACCGCGCCCGGCCTAAACAGGCCCTTTTACATGTTTGAATATTCCAACAGGTAGCACTTACGCCGTTTCCGTCTACACCCTGCGAATGCGGCTGCCGTGAGGCCCCCCAGGCGACCCCGCACCGTCTCCCGCCGCTCCAGGCGAGTCTGAGAAGTGCGCACGCGGCCCCCCAGCCCCCGCGCAGGGTCTGCCATGGCCGACGGGCACGCGCCGCGCGAGGCCCTCCCAACGGCAGGTCCAACTGAGGCTGCGCGGCACCTGCCGGAACACCCCCAAGGTGAGACCAGAGCGGGTCGCAGCCACGCGGCGCAGGACACGGGCCGCCGCGAACAGCGGGACGCAGGGCGGTCTGCGCTGCACTCGGCTGCCCGGCCGCTCCTCGGGGTTCCTCAGGCGGCCACAGCCTGCCCGACCCGGGCCTGCGCAGACCGGGCAGCAGGCGCCCCTCTTCCCCCCGCGCCCCGCACCCCAACTGCGCGCTTGGCCGGGTCGCTCCCGGTTTCCACGTTCCCACACCCCATGGGGCAGACGCTCCGCATGTTCTAACAGGGAATGGGGAACAAGGACGTGAGTTTTTAGGTTATTTTATTTAAAACGACTTTTTTGAGAACACATTCACTCGTGGTTTCTATTCTGCTTCTACAAACCAGGAACGTTAAAATTCTGAGTCATCACGTATTTAGCCATCTCTCTTTAATAATTCGGACCTACCTGTTAAATAATCGCTCACTGTACAGAGACCCTGTATTTTTTTTTCCTAGAAAAACACTTTACAGCGGACATGAGTGCGACTGGTGGTCACTGCTGGGACCTGTCCCCAAGCAAGCCAGACGCTGGGCTGGGGATGCGGCCACCCGCCCCCCAACTTGCACGCTCTAAAGATGCCCTGCAAGGACACGTTTTGTACCCTGTTTCCCCGAAAATAAGACAGGGTCTTATATTTATTTTTCCTCAAGAAGACACCCTAAGGCTTATTTTCAGGGGATGTGTTATTTTTTTTAAGTACGGTACAACAATCTACATTGATTCAAATATAGTTAAGCTGCCTTCTTCTGGAACATCATCATGACTCTCCAAACCCCGAATGCCATCCTGAATTTCTTGCGACTCTATTTCCTTTAGCACCATTGGCCCCGATCTCTCCTGTCGAGCCACAGAGCTCTGGTGGGGCACATGAGAAGGGCTGCTGGTCTTTCCCGCTCCGCGACGAAACGCATGGGTTGTGCAGATGCGCTGCGTAGCCACATACGTCACTAGGGCTTATTTTCGGGGCAGGGCTTCTATTGCGCAAATGCTTAGAAACCCTGCTAGGGCTTGTTTTATGGGTAGGGCTTATTTTCGGGGAAACACGGTATTTGCTTGACGTCATCTTGTGTTAAGCTCCCGTGACAGATTGCCACAAGCTGCGCGGCTCAAAACAACACACATTCGTTCTCTCGCCGTCCTGGAGGTCCCGGGTCTGAGGGCAGGGAGGGCTGTGCAGGGCTGCGCTCGCTCCCACGGCTCTGGGGGTCTTTCTGCCTCTTCCAGTTTCTGGGGGCTGCAGGTGCCCGGCGTGTCCGGTCACTCCCGTCTCTGCCTGTCTCCGCGGGGCCTTCCCCTCCGTGTGTCTGTCTTTTCCTCTTCCATCTCTTTCGGGGACATTTGTCACTGGGTTCAGGGCCCACCTGCAGAACCCAGGAGGGTCTCCCCGAGACCCTTCATTTGGCCACATCTGCAAAGACCCCCTTTCCAAGTAGGGTCACATTCACAGGCTCCAGGATCAGGGCATCGACATATGTTTTTTTGGGGGGGGCCAGGGGTCACCATTCAACCCACAACATTTAATTAACAGTACCACAATGAATGCAGAGGGAAATTCTCATTGGCCGATATTATTAAAATACTTTTTTTTTATAACTTATTATTTTTATTTTAGCGTATTATGGGGGTACAAGTGTTAAGGTTATTTATATTGCCCATGCCCCTCTCCCCCCTAGAGTAAGAGCTTCAAGCTAAAACACTTTCTTATTAGGAATATCTCCCATGAATTATTTGTTATTTGCAGTCCATATATCTCAGAACATTTTTCAACATCATTCTCACAAACACTAAAAAGCCCCTAAAAATCCATATGGCAAAAGAGTAATTAAAGGGAAAAGCATAAAGATCACCAAATTGAAACGGGCTCTCCTCCGCCCATCTGTCCCAAACACTGCACCCTTCTGCCAGGAACCGAGTGTTCTCAGGAGGAAAGAGGCAAGATCCCGAAGGACGAACCTAGAAGCAGGGTTACAAAATCTGGCATCAGAATATCTAAAAGGTGAAGCTCAGTGAGATTTGGCTACAATGTTGCAGGTTTGTATCTATGAGAGCAACTGTATCTATGAAAACAATTGTGTCTATAAAAACACTGTCCAGCAGCTCCCACGAGACCCAGGAGCGCCTCCGAGCCCAGGAAGAGCAGGTTCTCCTCCCTCCCTGCACCCCAGCTGCAGCTCCGGCTCTCATGCACCAAGGGAGAACCGCAGGGGTGAGAACTCCAGAACCTTCTCATGGCAGCTGTCAGACTGCAAGAAACCACCAGCGAACCGAAGGGATGGGGAGGGAGCTGGTGTCTCCAGAGTCTTTAGTCACGGAAACGTCCCAGATGTTCCACGGGTCCAAATGTAATTTTCGAAAGATTATTCCAGAAATGGATCCAAACATGAACCATACTTTGTTTTTTCCACTTACAAATGTATTCGGCTGTCATTCATTTTGTGTTAGACTATGGTAAAATTATCATGTGTCCAAATAATTTTCAAAATTTTTTTAAATTTTACAGAAAGTGCAGATAGCTTAAACTCCTGACCTTGAGCGCTCCTCCTGCCTCGGCCTCCTAGAGTTCCGGGATTATAGGCGTGAGCCATGGCGCCCGGCCTGTCTTTAGCTTGAATTTGCTATTCTTTTTCTCACTTCCTGACAGAGAGACTTGGAACCTTTCTGCCTTCCTGATCATAGTGCAATTAGAGCTATCAGTTTCCTTTAAGCACTGCTTTGAATGTGGCCTAAAAGTTTTTTTTTTTTTTTTGAGACAGAGTCTCGCTTTGTTGCCCAGGCTAGAGTGCCGTGGCGTCAGCCTAGCTCACAGCAACCTCAAACTCCTGGGCTCAAGTGATCCTCCTGCCTCAGCCTCCCGAGTAGCCGGGACTACAGGCATGCGCCACCATGCCTGGCTAATTTTTTCTATATATATCTTAGTTGGCCAATTAATTTCTTTCTATTTTTTTATAGTAGAGACAGGATCTCGCTCTTGCTCAGGCTGGTTTTGAACTCCTGACCTCGAGCGATCTGCCCGCCTCGGCCTCCCAGAGTGCTAGGATGACAGGGGTGAGCCACTGAGCCCGGCCTCTGCTTGATTCTTTTTAAGCATTCCAATTCTCTTTAAAGTCTCCACCTTTTAATCTACCACCATGTCCATCACTTCCTCAGTTTTCTTGACTACGTTAGTTGCAGATGATACCTTCCAGTCCCTGTCTGATAAATGCAACACCCGTCTGCTTTTCCCAGTTGGTTTCAGCCCTTTGGCCTGTCATTCAGCACACACCGTGACTCCGCATTAGATGCTAGGCACGCTGAAGGAAGTAGGGGCGGCACTACAGACAACACCTTCTTTTTCCAGAGACGGTTCAGGCTGTGTTTTGTCAGGGTGGCTGTTGCTCTCGTCTCTAGAAAGCAGATTCTGGAGAAAGACCTGGATCCTGTGGGGTCTTCACTGTAACTTCCAGGACTGGTACGATCTAGTCTAACTCCTAGAGAGTGAATCTAATTTCAGGGTGTGGCCCCTCTGGGGGTCTCACCTGAAGCCCAGGTGTTTCCTGAATCTCCACCTGGCCTGATCCTGGCCTCCACCTGTGTCCCAGCGTGAACTCCTGCAGAGACCTCTGCTGCGTGACGCAGCCACCCCCCGTGCTGTTTCTGCCGGGATTCTTGGCGTGGTGTATGTGCGTGTGCGTGTATGTGC